ATAAATTCAACAGCCTTTTCTGCTTTTTGGACATAACATGCAGCATTACTTTCAATGCTTATCTGGGGAAACTGATGAGTTTGTTGTGGGTAGCAACTTCACCTCCAGCAGGTTAGTTCATAGTCATTCTTTAAAGCTATTGACTTATCTACAAAGACCAGGCACAGAGGCATCTCCCAATTAACTCTTTGTATCTTCGAATAGTGAACAGGGGAAAGAAATATTTAAACTGTTTACAACGACCAACTAAAAAGAGCCAAATTGCGACAGTAACCATGACAATGGATTAAGCAGAGATGAAGGGTTTTTTCTTCTCATTTAGAGTCATAGAGCTGTACGGCACAGAAAAGACCCTTCGGCCCAACTCATCTGCACCGACCAGATATCCTCAACTAATCTTGTCCCATTTGCCAGCATTTGGCCCATATCCTTCTAAACCCTTCCTATTCATATACCCATCCAGGTGCCTTTTAAATGTTGTAATTGTACCAGCCTCCACCACTTCCTCTGGCAGCTCGTTCCATACACGCACCACCCTCTGTGTGAAAAAATTGCCCCTCGGGTCCCTTTTAAATCTTGTCCCTCTCACCTTAAACCTATGCTTTCTAGTTTTGGACTCCCCTACCCCGGGGAAAAGACCTTTTGGCTATTCACCCTATCCATGCCCCTCATGGTTTTATAAGCCTCTCTAAGGTCACCACCGAAAAACGTTTTCAGCCTCTCCCCACAGCTCAAACCCTCCAGTCCCAGCAACATCCTTGTAAATCTTTTCTGCAGCCTGTCATTACAGAAAGAAAGAAGTTGCATTTATATCGTGCCTTTCACCAACTCAACACTGTGCACCAGCTTTTACATCCACTGAACTATGGCTGTGATGCGTAAAACGCAACATGCAATGGTGTGTTCTCACTGCAATTGTACAGCGCCTTGGTGAGGTCATGCCTGGAGTAGTGTGTGCAGTTTTGGTCTCCTTATCAGAGGAAGGGTGTTCTGGCGATGAAGGAAATGCAACAAAGGTTCACCAGACTGATTCCTGGGACAGCAGGACTGACATATCAGGAGAGATTGAATTAGTTAGGGTTACTTTCACTGGACTTTCGTGGGGATGCCCTCGTAGAAACATATAAAATTATAACAGGACTAGACAGGGTAGGTGCAGGAAAGGTGTTCCCTTTAGTAGGGGAGTCCAGAGCCAGGGGTCATAGTTTAAGGATAAGGGATAAACATTTTAGGACTGAAATGAGGAGAAATTTCTTCACCCAAAGAGTGGGGAGTCTGTGGAATTCAGTGCCATGGAGAGCAGTTGAGGCCAAAATGCTATCAAGAAGGAGGTACATGTAGCTCTCGTGACAAAAGGGATCAAGGGATATAGGGGAGGGTGCGATTAGGGCATTGAGCTCGATGACCAGCCATGATGATATTGAATGGCGGAGCAGGCTTGAGGGGCCCGAGTGGCCTACTCTTGCTCCTATCTAACATGTTTCTGTGTGCACAGCAAGATCCCACAAGCAGCAATGGCTGGATAATGGTTGGAACAACACACTCATTCCCCATGCAGCGCCGTATCCCAGCCTTCGTCGAGATAGTGGAGCTTTTTGCA